AGTGAATGGAAATTATATACGCCAACTAAACACAATTTCTTACATTTAGGATAACATTTTATTATTGCAATTTCTTTGTGTATATTGAAGTGTTTAATCGTGGACGGCATGTTTCAGTTATGAGTAGCCTGGTCACTGTAGGTAGGCTAATAGAAATATTAGTGTTAGTCATAGAAAATACAAGTACATTTATTTGCTTTTTATGTTAAATTTATTTTATAATTTATAATAAATTGATAAAATGTAATTGTGCAATTATACAGTATTTCACTTAATTACAGTTTTTGCTCCCTTCTGCTTATTACTCATGAGTGCTGTTTAAAATTACATCACTACCAGTGCACTGTTTCAAATACTCCCTTTCAGACAAAATTAAAACCCCTAAAAGCAATGTTAAGGAACATGGCTGCAGGAGATAACACAGGAACAGATATTTCTGCAACACTAAAAATTTCAATTTGCAGTTGCTTTCAGTGTCTTGGCAAGAGATATAAAATTTGTGTCTTGCGTGGTGGCAATGGATTGGAAAATAAAAATATATATATTTGCAATTTTTCTACTCTGTTGATTTCAGAAATGCTTTGTGTTTCTAGGTGACTTGTGTATCAAGGGACAATAAATGCAATCCAAGGATTTCCTAAATAGCTTATATGAAAATGACTGTTTACCTCGGGGTGCTGTTTTAACGACATGCACCAAATTAATCCTTCCTCTTTGCTATTTTTTACAGCTGCTTGCTTGCAGAAAAGAATAAACAAGTTGTATATTGGGTCCCCCACCAGTTTGTATGTAGATGATACTGCCTTAGGTGCTTAAACTAGGGGGAAAGAACAGGCAGAAGAAGACTCCAGGCAGTGGCAGGAAGCTGACACAGCCCCGTATTGTCCCATTCTTTGTCATTTCCTCCAACCGGATCCTCCGAGTGCCCTCAGAGGAAGACAAGGTGACAATGTGCGCGTGCTAGACAGGCAGCGAGGAGAAAGCAGGAGACAAAAAGAGGAAATGACAGACAGACTTAGGTAAAGAAAAATAGGTTAAAGTAGCATCCTTGGTTGCACTACGGCTACTTCCCTTCTGGAGCCAAACCTCAGAAGACATCCAGTTAAATAAGTGGGAGCTGATAACGAGCCTTCAGGATACAGTGCCAAGTTCTTTATCTTTGTTTACCCACATGGCAAAGCTGATTAGGAGAAGGCAATAATATGAAACACTATTGTTTTCAGTCTACTTTTAGAGCAAGTGTGTATGAATAGACAAACACTTGCTACTTTGGTGTTAGTAGTGCACATATTTTAGTAGCCTTTTGGTGTTCTGTACTTCTTTTTATTAAACTGACATCCATAAAATAAGATGTATTAAGTGATGTGTTACCAATAATGTGAGAAGAAACAATACAATTTTTCACAATTATTGACACCATGACCAAACAACTGTGACATGTTTAATTCACATTGTCTGATCACTGTTATTATTTAACCAGCTTTATGAAATCAAACTTACTGACTTATAAAGTAAAAGTGGCATAAGAAGCTGTTGTTTTGGAGTACATTTTTAGCTCTGATAACACTGACCTAAATAATCTCAACATCCCTAATTTAATAGCGTTAATAGTGTAGAATGCATTTTGAGTCACATCATTTGAAACTAACTAACCTTGTAATACTGGAGAAACATGTGTATGAATTCTGACTTTCTCTAAATAAATAAATAAAACTTTATTGCTTAGGGTTGCTCATGTTGAAATGATAAATAGTGAGGCTGCCAAGTGACATAAACATGACTGGCAGAAGTTAAGGAAGCTTTGAGAGGATTCACCGCCAATACTTTAAACAAGGATAAACGCAAGAAGTATATTAATGGAGTCTACTCTCAGCACAAACCCTGTCTTTAGCGTATTTAAGTAGATCGTTGCTACAATATAAATCATACCATTAGCTGCCGCCATGCAGAGAGTGAATCTTAAAAATTCTGCTACAATGTTCAATAAAACCCTCAAGCAGCTGAACTATTACTTGGCTCCCACATAGACAGGAAATCAAAGTAGGCCAAAATTCATCTATATCTTTGCCATGACTGTGTCTCCTAAATAATGCAAGCCACTTCTGTTCGGGACTCGGCTCTGTTCACTTTCTGCTGTGTCTGCAACTTTTGTGCACATCGTATCTTGCCGCTTGGCTGGGGTTCCTGCCTCACAACTTTATGTCTCCTACCCACTTATTGCTCAAGGCTTAATATTAGAGAGGAACAGCCAGAAAAAGTGATGTTTGTTTGTGAGATAGAGAGTATGCGGGGCTGTGCAAACACTTTTAAGAATGCACCGAATAAAGGATTATGCATCAATGTACTGCAACTACAAGACACAAAATTACATCAAAACCTCTGCCAAGACACTGGTCCTATCTTACAATCATGCAGATGAGGATATATATATGATACGGCATAAAATGACCAGAATGGACTAATGCTCAAGTTAAAAGCTCATAATGAATTGGGGATTGTGTGTTCTTTGCTATATATTTAGTCTCAGAATCCCTTAACACTTCTAATGGCTCTGCAGCATAATTCATCACTTTGTCCTTGGCCCATTACTGACCTTTCTTACTGTAGTGAAGTAATTAAAATACTACATAATATTTGTGTTTATTGAAAAACAGCATGCCACATCTACAGCCTAGCACTGTTGGATTGAAATTTTGTGTTTTTCGGTTTAATTATGGAAACATTTGTGCCACATCTGAGCCCCCTTCACTTCACTGAATACAGTTTTTTTCTGCTTGGCGTAACTCATGGGCATGACTCAAAGAACAGTGGTTCATGAAATATGCACAGCTGCCCAAAACAAACCTCTGGGGTGATGGTGCCCCTGTGTCCAAAAACATATCAGCGCTGGACTAAGGAGATGCAAATGTGCTGTAATGTGAGAGATGACGAGGCTGGAGTCACTTGTGATGTTGTGTACATGTTTATTTATGTGTGAGTAAACATAAGATCTGCCAAACGCCTGTGGCCTCTTAAACAGATACTCTCCCTCTCCTGTAGCTGCACAACAGGGCAAAAAGACTTGTGAGAAGCAGCAAGGTGGAACATTTCTGTGGCGTTGCACTATACAGCGAGACACGAGAGGCGACACGACTTAAGAGGAAAGGCAGAGAAACTTGTAATCTCCGCTCGCAGCCTTTGAACTTGGCCCGATGAGAGGCAAGCGACCCAAAGCAAAAGGTTTCCAAAGAGAAGCTCACTGAAGATTACTCAGAATACTGATGCACTGTGGAATCCAATTCCTCCGGGAGCCCAGGGGACTATGAGAGAGTAAATTATCTATGTAGTATGGCACCACACAGGCCTACTTGTGGGTGAACTTTGAGCCTAACACTAAGTTTAAAAGAAGACATTCTGAACTGCAGATGTGTTTGTGAATGCAGCCAATTTAGAGCATCAGTGACTCAGTGTGTGCCTGTGCCACAATAAATGAGGCCTAAGGTCTCTTAGGTTCTAATTAGGGCAGCTGTTACGTTCCCATTATGTGTGTGTGTGTAAGAGAGAGGGTGTGTTAGTATAGGGTGCCCTGAGACAGACCCCTCTTATCCAGCTGTTGTTAGTGCACCAGGGAGCAGAGGTCCACTGGTGTCAGATCCCACCCCCTGCGGCTCTCAATAACCACAAAACCATGTGTAAGCGCGACTAAAAAGGTAAAGCTGTGCGCACAACAGCAAATGGTTGAGTTCACAGTGCCATTTGTGAGTCTGTTTTTGTGTCTGAGAAAGTGCATATGATAAAAAGCAAAAGCTACAGGCAGTCTAAAACAATCACAGACTATATTATTCCCTCTTTTGTCTCCCTCCCAGTAGATCTCAAACTGTGCCCACTCTCTGCCATGCTGCATTCAAAGTGAATCATTTCTGTTCAGCTCTGGTTTATTTCTGTTTCTGATCACTTAGCAGACTCAGTATTAATTGCACCATGCTTTTTATTTTTGTAACAGAGCATTTGCAGCTCTAAATTATTCAGCTTGATTAAAGCAGCTGCTCAGAAGCTTGCCGCTTTATAATGGGCTTATTTAGTCTAGAAATATGGATGTTCTGCTCGTGAAATCTATCTAACTTTCTCTTTTTGATTTAGTGGCCACGGAAGACATATAGCAGCCATAAAAAACACAAACAACACACTAGATTTCCCACTCTGTACTTTTGGTTGGCAACTTTGGCGCTTTAGTACCCAATGTAAAGGTAATGACAGAAAGAATGCGAATTTGATAGTTTAAATGCAGTCTGTCTTTCCATTGGCTGAGAGGAGAGACAGGTGCGCCTAAGTCCAGGACACAAACAATAGAAAAGTCCCCCTCTCTTTCTCTCTCACTCAGCCACATGCCCGCGAGGCAGAACTCGCCGCGGCTCCAACGAGGCACAGTATGAACTCCACGTTACGCACAGACTCTACTCCTCAAGGCAACACTGAACCAGGCATCACGGCACAATATTTTCCACAACGAACAACACTTATGGCATTTACATCAATTTGTCTTAGTGATGAACGCGCTATAGTTGTGCGTTACACTCAGCTCGTAAGAAGCAGATCTGAAATCCTTTTCAACCTGCGCGGATGCTCAACAGTTTAATTGTGTTAAAAGCATATTTGGGTGTGCCTTGAGTCCACAGTCAATCACAATTAGTCTACTCAATAAAGTAATTAAAACTGCCCGCTGATTTAAAACCCAACTTAAACTGCATGTGCGCTCTGGTACAACAGTAAGCTTTCAAGATGCCCAAGTGACCCTACTATTTCATGTAGCTCCGCAGCGTAACGCCTCAGTCAAAACTCCACTTTAAAGACCATTTCAAAGTGATAACACACTATATCACCCGTAGATTCCAGCAGCTCCGTGGCACTGCACCATACACGCTACTCCTCTACCTCCCAACATTACTTGACGCAGCGCGCTAGAGTGGACAGTAGTGCATCTATGTAAACATCCACGTGGAAAAACGCAACAAAAGACGTACCTGTGGCCATAAGGCAGAAGATAAGGTACAGCGTGAACATGTTGCGTGATGCTGCGACCACTCGCTGACTTGTGGATGGCTTCACTCTCCGCTCCAATGCGACTGTGCTAGAGTCCACCACGGCACCACTGGCTCTCATTCGCTGGACGCTCAAAAGATGCAGTCTATAGTACAATCCAGTGTAAAGAAAAAATGTCTCCGGGCACTTGGTAAACAGTGTTATTGATACATCTCCATACTTTAGTGGTAACTTTCCCCCACGTCCGCTTCTTCTCCGCCTGTTAAATCGCTACGGTCCACTCTCGAACCTGCGTGCGCATACTGTGAGCTCAGTACAGCGGTCTATCCTCTATCCACAGTGCGCAGTGAAGTTCCTCTCTCACTCCGCTCCCCTCTTTTCGCTCTCCTCTTGCCAATGGGAAATGCGCGCTGACTGTCATCTGCTAAAGAGCGGGGTGCACTGAAATCTGGCATAGACTGAGTCGGTGAAGCCCCTCTGTCTCTGATGCGTGCCGGGGGGTGCACAGCGACCCCCCTTCCTCCACCATTGGGGACCCACCATTGGCTGAGAGAGTGCCATGGGGAGGGCATTTAAAAACACTTTTTACAGACTTTAATGGAACTCGCCGAAGATGGGGGTTTTCACAGCGCAAATACACAAGGCACCCATCAACAAAGTGTGATGTGATGATGGACACGAGCGGTCAGGGCTTTGTTGTGGATTGTCACCATACTGTTACCACACTGCGGCAATCTGGAGGAAAAGTCTTTTTTTGGGTGTGGGTGTGGGGCGCGCGGATGGTGATCCTGGCTACGTTCTGGGCTCACAGTTTTTCAAGTTTTAATTTACTTATTAGACCTACAACCTGTTTTCAAACTGTGAAACTGTGGAGGATTTCTTGTTTCTCTGCGCAACAGAAGTCCAAAACATTAGATGTACAAGAAAACCAACTTGTTGTGCCAGTCTAGATGATTGCGTCAGGAAGGACATACAACCTATGCCAATTCAAAATGTAAATAATAAAAAATGTATGAGGCAAAAATGAGAATGCCAAGAAAAACACGACAGAAATGTTAATGTATTTTTCAAACAATATATTTAAAACGTGTAATTAGAATATGTTTTCCATAGTCAAACAGAGTATTTATTGTAATTTGTGTACATGCAAAACATTGAAACCAACTTATCAAGTGACTGTTCCACACATACTCAGATGTAATACCTCAAAAGACCACTAAGTGAATCTGCCTTCAATACACAACCACTTATTCATGCATAATCCAATTGGGGTTGCAATACACTTACAATACCCAATTTAATTAACAGACCTTTTGTGAGGAGATAAGTGCCACTCTTTGACTTACAGACTTTCTTTTGCATAATTTACCTGAAAACAGTTTATTTCTCTGAGTAAAAAAACATCCCTCTATCAGACAATAGAGCTCTTCTCTGAATGATGACTATTGAAAATGAGTATCCTGTTCAATTAGTTTCCAGATTTGGGGGAATTAATTAAGGTGATTTATGTGTAAGCAGTTGCCTAGAGCGTGGATTAGCTGCAGATGTTTTGCCAAATGGTGTAATTATCACTGTACTCTCTCTATCCCAACACTTGTAACAGAAAACATCATGGATCAAATAGTAACACTGTCATTATTTACAGACACATTTATTGGCCTGCCTCTTTTGTAAGATGTAAATACACAAGGCAGAAAATGTGTTTCATGAATGTAGACTTTGTAATTCAAATCACAGAAATGATCAAGGAGAGTCAAGGGTTGTTGAAGACATAGGTTTATCAGTTCTATCATTTTGTGATAACATTGATGTACACACAAAATTATTGTAATGCTCTTAAGCCTCAAAAGAAAAGAATATTCATTCTTGAACTACAAATATTGAAACCCACACATGTTTCTTTTCCAAAGTCTACTTTTCAGGTACTATATTATATATTTTTGTGTTTATTTTAACTGAAGAGTCTCACAATGTAGTCTTAAACTAGAAAAAAGCTGCCCCTGTGGAAAATGAAGGTTTAAAAGAACTGTATGCAAGATTTTGATTTTAAATTCCACAAATGTGACATATCTGTGTCCCCAGATATGAGGTAAATGTATTCAAATCAAATATTTTTAGAGAAGATATCTAAACATTAAAATTGTTAATTACATAAACATTGCACATGATGATCTAGTTGTTTATGTTTTTTATTATCCAATCAGAAAGCAGAATGTGCCTCACATGAGCTAAATCCATTTGGTTAAAACCTGAATCCACATTACCTAAACTTGCACCTTCATCATTAAGAGAGTATAAAACTTGAATGAATAAAACTGATGAGTAAAACTTGTATGTGGTTAAGGCAGTGGTAACTTAAGTTCAGTTGTGAATGTGCCTTATTTAAAAAGGCTACTTACAGGTCTTATATGTAAGATGTGATGTCTTTAGAAAAACAAGATTTGACCTTTGCTTGGGAAGAGCTCTTTGTTTTGTTTGTAAATGTGTGTATTTTTTACACTGAAACATCCTTTTTTAGAGTACTGTATCTACTGTGCTTTTAATAAGCTTCTCCAAATATATATGCCAGTGTAGCTGAATATGAGAAAACCTATTATTATTATACAGTATATAGTACAATAAAGCCAGGAGGAAAAATCATTACCATGTTCCAACAAAAGCTTTTTTTTTGAAGAGGTGAGAACAGTGCAATCTACCGCTGGCCCCTGGCTGTTTACATGCTCTCGCTTTGATGTTCTTCATTAGTTATTCAAGGGTCTATTGATTAACTAAAATAATAGGCCATCATCTGGTTAATCAGTCTTTCATTTGTATATTGTGGTGAGACACAGCTTAATCTAATCCTAACACAGCCACCCTCCCTCTCCCACCCCCCACTACTCTTCACAAACACAAAAACACACACCACATGTTAAAAGTAAGCCAGGTGGTAAGTGCCGCATCGGACGGTGAAAAATTCATCAAAGTGTATGGAGGCGGTTGCAGAGGAGCTTGTTTGGATTCCACACAAAAACAGTGATATTTTTCCACATTTAATTAAAGGTTACTGTGTGATTAGAACCCACTCCTCACATGAGCCTCCCCCTAAACAGTAGTTCTTAAACACTGGGGGGACGGTCTTCCTGTTTATTGCCTCCCTGTAATGGAAACATAAGGGTCCCCTGCTAGTAAACACATGTTGATGGGAGAAACAGCTTGCGCAGCTGGGGAGCATAGGCTCGGTTAGTGTGAGCGAGCACATTGGTAAACTGTCTGTGTGTGCGTGAGACATCAAAGATATTATTTGTATGTCACAATTTGGACTGGCTTGTGAGCGATAGACAGCAGTAGAAGAAGGCACAGTGCATGCATTTGTGTCCCAGATTGTGTGAAGGCATCAATGGGGTGACTAAAGGCAGGAGCTGGGTGAGCAGTAAAACAGCGGGGGAGCCACCGACAGTTGTGTTGTGATAATAAAATCAACAAGCTTTGTGCTAAGTCTGTCACCAGGCATGAGGCTCCGATTGAAATGCATGATCTCCTATGGCTCACCCAGATGGAGAGAGAGGGGCACACAAACATGCTAACTTTGCATAGGTTTCCTCCAATAGAATTAATTATGCCAGTCTCTGTGGTGTCGAATGGAGGGCGCTATGCTCCCTGAGCTTTTGAGCCTGTGAATAATTTATACATAAAAGGGGAGTTTTCAGCTGTGCCGGCCTTATTAATAATAAATATGGTTTGATATTTACTAAACTGTTCAGAGGGAGAAAGGGGTGACACTTAAGATGCTGTGTGCATGGTAATTGTACAGAGGTCATAAATAAAGCATGGAACCTCAATGTATGGAAATATGATTCGCGGTTAAATAAGAATAATTAACCAAAATATTGTCCCAGTCCCTGTTTGACCCCGGGTCAATTAAACCGGAGGTGTCTGTCACGGTACAGAGGAAGGCTGACAACTGCTCCGTCTGCCGCCTGTCTACTCTAAACTCATCAAACAGGAGTGAAAGAAAACGTATTGATACTGATGGGAAACATGTGGTTAAGCCCAAGGATTTTTAAACAAAATATAATACGGGCTCATTTTCTCAAGAAGATACACTCAGTCCAAGGTTGTGTTGAGAAAACATGAGATGGAAGAAGAGGAATGTGTTGTTTTGATTCAAAACTATGTCATGTTTTGCAAAAGGTTCACGAAAATACACAGTGTGGATTGAATGTAAAGTATTTCATAGTGACTTGTGAAATGGTATTACTGAAAAACAAGAGTGGGGTAAAAACAGATGGAAGCGTATTTTCATACTGATTAAATTTCTATCATAATTAACAAAACTACTTTGTATGGAGTAATCTGTAACATTTTCTGAGCCTTAAATAGACTTCTATCGGGTATTAATGGCCAACACATAACATATTTTGAAACTACTGCACATATTACTGTTATACCCCCTCTTTAAAGAGTGGCTATATTGTGTTTTTTGAGTATAACATGAAATATTTACTTTCCATCCATCTAGTACACCTGAATTTAATTTTAAATTCCATTTATGTCCAAGTGCCGGCATTTAGGTTCACCCAGGGGTTTGCAGTCTGGTAACCATAGTGGTAACATTACACTTGCTTTTACTGTAATCGTCATATTGAATGCTAGCCCATGTGTGTCACCCATAACACTTAACATCATTCATAAGGACATGTGTGTTTGCTGGTATATCCATCTACTCCTTTCACAGACCATTCAAACCTGTCTCCTCTTTCTCGTTCCAATAATATGACGTCAGGCCACTGCGCTGCTTGGAAATTTTTGCAATTAAGCATTTTTCTGTACGTGTGATTGACGAGCAGAAGGGGGGCCATTACAGCCAAGCGGAGAGTGGTGGAGCAGCCGACCCCTCTCTCCCTCTCACTCTCTCTCTCTTCCTCACTGCAGTAGTCCAGCGCACTATTCCCAGGCTGGGATCAAATCCATGTCCTCTGCCCTAATATCAGAATACGACTCTGGCCACCCATGGCTGTGTTTTTGGTCTGTAATGAAAGTCTCTCTGGGGATAGACTGCAAGGATTCTTTTCCTCTGGGGTCAAGGAGAGGTCTAGGCTGCTGGTTCACGCTGCGCTTGGAAAAGGGTGTGGATTACAGGAATGTGCCTGTTGAACTGCACAAATATATAGAAAAGATCTACAGTGTGACATTACTGTGGTCATTACTGTAGGGGCTCTGAGCTATAGACTGACAATATGATAGCCCTGGCAGTACAGGAAAGGACAGGAAGGCTGCAGTCTACCTCTAATGCTTTGAGCTATAAAGTATACATAGACAGTCTGCCTTTTACTTAACTGTAGTGGAGGTTGGAAAGTATGTCTTAAGTTCTACTTTACCTTATTAATGTTTAAATTATAATGTGCCCGTGGTTGTAAGAGAAAGAAA